TTGATGACTTTGGATAAATTAAGTATTATAATAATCTCATTTTTTCTTCTTTATAAACTGAAGGTAATAAAGCCTTATAACAAAGTTCAAGAAGCTGGACTATATTAAGAAGAATATACTATCAGGATTGGAGGAAGACTCATCAACAACTTTCTTCATGTAGATTACACAACCTTGCTTGCTGAGAGTGAAGAGGACATGAAACACTTGCTGGAGAAAATTAAAGACTATAGCCTTTGATAAAGATTATATCTCAGCAGCAGGAAAACAAAAAACCTAACCTCTGGAGCAACAGGCAACACAACGACAGATGAAGACTGAAGTTGTCAGTGATTTAATTTTATTTAGATCCATGATGAATAACAATGGTAGTAGAAGACAAGAAATCAAAAGATGTGCTGCACTGGGAAAACCTGCAGTCAAGGACCTTTCCAAAGTGCTAGTGAGAGGAAGAATGTAAATTTAAGACTAAGCTGTGCATGATCCAAGCCATGGTCTTTTCAATAGATTCCGAGGCATCTGAAAGTTGAACAACGAATAAGGATGACAGGAGGAGAATTGATGTCTCTGAGTTAAAGTGCTGGGGAAGAGTACTATAAATATCCCAGGGACTGTGTAAAGAACACACAAGTGTATCTTGAAGGAAGTCCAACCAGGGTGCTCTTTAGAGGTAAGATGGTGACGCTTCATCTCATATACTTTGGGCATGTGGTTATGAGGGGCTATTCTTTGGAAAAGACATTTTGTTGGGAAAGGTGGAGGGTTAAAGAAAGAGATCCTCAACAAGATGCAATGACAGTGACTAAAACAATGGGTTTAACTCTATCAGATGGTGAGGAAGGTGTAAGAAAAGCAGTGCAAGGTTCAGATCTGTTGCTCACAAGGTCACCGTGAGTGGTAATTGACTTGACGGTGCCCAACAATACCACAACACAAATTATCCTGAAAATTAAATGAGAGAACGTAACACTAAGCACTTAGTACGATGCTCTGTATGTACTATCATCATTAACAAGTTTAACCTTCATGCTGAACTTAATGTGTCTCATGGTTCATTTTTAGAGTTCCCATTAATTATACTTATTTTCCATGATAGTTTTTAAAAAGTGTGAAACTTCACGCAAGTAAAAAAATTTATTAGCCAAGCAGGATTTGAATGGTACATGAGGTAGTATAGACTTACTCCTCTTAACTTTTTCTAACCCCACAAATTAAGTTTGCTAGTTTTCCCTTATCTGTTTTAGAGCCAGACAACAATATTCTTAACAGTACTCTATTAGTTTAAAAATGGTTACGCATTTTTTTCCTACCCCCTAAAGTATTCTTTCTTTCAAAATCTTTTAGTGGGCTGTTTGTTGTTATGTGGCCAATGAGTCAGAAGTTATTCATGGCTGATCCTCCAGAGAGTTTTCAAAGGTTGTAAAGGATATGGGAGAAGACTGCCATTGGAAAAAGATATTACTGGGGAAGGTCAGAAGAGAGGAAGATCCTCAATAAGACAGACTGACACAATGACTGCAACAATAGGTTTCAGCATATCAGAGACAGTGAAGATGAGCTGGTGGATTCAAACTGCCTATCTGGGAGTTGGGAGACCAATTCCTTACCACTTGGCCACCAGAACACCCTCTAATGACACTAAATAGTGTACAGATTTTATTAAGTGCTGTTTAAGATAAATGAGCTGAAAATATGAAATAACTCAGATCACGAAAATAATCTGTAGCAAATTTAAAAAGGCTACTTTCAGAATGTTTTAGAGCTGAGTTTATATTATGGCTGAAACAAACCTGTGATCTAGTACGGATATTTAATACCATATCCAAGAATTCTATTCTATACAGATTTCTACTTTTTTGAGATCTGGAACCTTTCCAGTATTTAGTAAATTTATACTAGTCATAAGAAGAAAAATGGGCTTACATTAAATCATAAAATTAACTCTAAAATTTCATTTCAGCCTAGATTTTCAGTCTTGCCTTTGCTAAACTATGAAAAAGAAATACTGATAGTTTAAAATTTCGTTGTGCCTCTGGGTAAAGTAATTTTAGGGAAATGGTAATCAAAAAATAACATTTTGCATGGGTAGTGTCATTGATTTCACATGCAAGCAAGATCCCACTGAAGATTATCCAAAAACGATTAGAACAGCACATCAGCAGAGAACTGCCGGAAGTCCAGGCTGGGTTTAGAAGGGGCCGTGGCACTAGGGATATTGTTGCTGATGTTAGATGGATCTTGGCTGAAAGCAGAGAATACCAGAAGAATGTCTATCTGTGTTTCATTGATTATGCAAAGGCATTTGACTGTGTGGATCATAACAAACTGTGGCTGACTCTGAGAAGAATGGGAATCCCAGAACATTTAATTGTGCTAATGCGAAACCTATACTTGGACCAAGAGGCAGTTAGTAGTCAGAACAGAGCAGGGTAACACTGCATGGTTCAAAATTGGGAAGGGTGTATGCCAGGGATGCATCCTGTCTCCATACCTTTTCAACATGTATGCAGAGCAGATTATCCGAGAGGCTGGGCTCTATGAGGAGAATTGTGGCATCAGGATTGGTGGAAGATCTATTAACAATCTGCGTTATGCAGATGACACAACCCTGCTTGCTGAAACTGAGGAGGACCTCATGCATGCACTTGCTGTGAAGGGTCAAGGACTGCAGCCTTCAGTATGGACTGAGGCTCAATGTCAAGAAGACAAAGATTCTCACCACTGGACCAATTGGCAGCGTCAGGATGGATGACGAAGAGATTGAGATTGTTCACAACTTCAGTTTGCTCAGCTCCACAGTCAACACTCTTGGCACCAGCAGTCAGGAAATCAAAAAGCGGATCGCAATGGGAAAGTCTGCTGTTAGGGACCTCTCTAAAGTACTCAGGAGCAACAGTGTCTCTCTGGAGACTAAGGTGCGCCTGATACAGGCCATGGTATTTGCAATCGCTTGTTATGTATCAGAGAGTTGGACAATGACTAGGGAGGACAGAAGGAGAGTGGATGCTTTTGAGCTGTGGTGCTGGAGAAAAGAGTACTTAATGTACCATGGACTGCCAGGAAAACAAACAGATTTATCTTGGTGAGGATTAAACCAAGCTACTCCTTGGAGGCAAGGATTCTGGGGCTTCGTCTAACATACTTTGGACATGTTGCCAGGAGGGACGGGTCCTTGGAGAGGGACATCATGCTTGGGAGGGTGGAGGGATGGCGCAGGAGGGGAAGACCCTCTATGAGATGGACTGACTCGGTGACCGGGGTAATTGGGATGGTGTGTCAGAGGCAGTGCAGTTGGCGCAGGATAGAGCAGGGTTTAGGGCTGTTGTGCATAGGGTCACTATGAGTCGCAAATGACTCGACGGCACGTAACAACAACAACAACAGCAATTAAGAGCTCTCAGAATCATCCTAAGGAGGGCAGTGGCCTCCAGTGGTTACAACTCTTGCCTTCTTTCTATAAAGGAGACACATGTTGGATGTACCTCACACACAGTTATCACTCACCTACTGACTATGTTGCTATGAAGCTGACCACATTTCAGCCGCACTTCCAGAACAATCTGGACTGAAATGAATGGCAATCTACTAGTACAAACCAGCCACTGAAAACCAAATGTATTCGAATGGTCTGACCACAATCGATCATAGTACAGGACTTGGAGCTTTTTAAATTTTTTTCAGTTGTTGAACGTAAGCTCATCATGTTCATGAGGCCAACTGTACAACAGCTACCAACAGCCAAGTGTTCCCAGAAATACTTCACTTAACTGTCGCCAATTATATGGATCACACATGACAACTTTCATTCTCACTTAACAGAAACTAATTTCAAGATCCTGAAAGTAATCACATAAGAATCTAAACATACCAACTTTCAATTTAAAACCTTTTCCACTTCATCCCATTTCCCTTCACTTGGGTCATTTATAATACTGTATAATTGGATCTGAAAACAGTTGAAGATTGTTTTTGTGAAGGAAGAGGGGGAAAGACATTAAAAAGAGTGCAGCATGCGGTGTAAGGAAAAGTTTCACTTATATTTTGCATTTAAGAAGATAGTACACAAAGATACAAAAACATTTTTGTACATAAATATTTAAGTTTTTAGAAACATAAATAGAATGCTTGAGAAGTTATAAAGGAGTAGAGAACCAAACACTTTGTTTGCAAATTATATGTAGGTGTGTATGCAATGCTTTTTTTTCTTGCCTTAACTTCTGTTTGAGTCACTGTGACAAATTATAACTTCTTTTACAGAGAGGAAAAATACTGCTTGCAGCTATGCCCCGGGGAGATGTCTTCACAATGATTACTATACTTTATAAATAGAGGTAAAGAAAAAGATTTCCTTTTAGACAGAACTGGCAATTTCTAAGATCCAGGCTTTCCAGAAACAGAGTTCAGTCATGTGGCTAAACATACATCTTCACTCACATAAAGAACTGTGAAAGATTTCTTATTTTGGAAGAATAAAGCGTCTCAGAAAGTAATGACACCCTTTCAAATTAAAAGGGAAGTGTTACAGGAAGGGGTGGATGTGGGACTGAAAACTCAGCACTGGTGGGCTCTGATATGGCTTGAGTGGATAACATTTCCCAAAGTCTAGTTTATTAGAGAGTAAAGAATCCTGAAATGAAATGAAATCACAGACTTACACAGATTCTCCTCAGAGTTAGCAAAATATATCTTTCCATTCAAACTTTTTGTCCTCTAAAATAAAAGTAATAATTCGCTGCCAAGATTCAATAAGAAAAAGGCATAAAAAAAAAAGACCATCGAACAACATCTCCAAAGACTCGTATGGTCCTGTGCATTAATCTCAACTTCACAGGGAAGACCATTTCTTTCCAACTCTTTATTAACTTAAAGACTTTATCACCCAATTATTATTTTATGCACAAATTTAAATTAGGTATTAATTCTAACTACATGAATTAGTATGATCAGTTCCATTTTCCTGTGTAAAAATTTCTTTGCTTTGCTTAAGCCTCAGTATTTACCTGAACTTCGGAATTTGAGTCAACAGGCTGTAGTGAAAACCAAGTTTCTTTACCACTATGGTTACACAAGTCTTCTTTTTTGATGGCTACTTTTCCTGCAGAAAATAAGTAAAACAACATGAGAAAACATTCTGTTTAATCCTAAGGCTTACTGTTATTTGCCACCATGAAGGTTCCAACTTATAACAAGTTTTTTTATACATCCATTAAAGATAATTAATGTACATACATTAATATATACACATACACATGCAATAGAAAAACACCCCACAAAACCCTGCCCATTCCTATGTCACCCTCACAATCTCTGCTGTGCTTAAGTTCACTGTCGCAATATTACTCCATTAGCACTGTTGTGTTTGTGTGTATACAATGGAGCTCAGGTGGCCTAGTGGTTAAGAAGAAGCTGTGCTGCAGTCCCAAAGGGACATGGTTTGAATCTACTAGTTGTACCGCAGGAGAAGAATAGGCAACTGTTCCCATGCAATTAACTGAAAACCCAGTTCCAATTCAAAAGCATGCAACAATTATACATATGAACATGTGTATGTGTGTGTATATATGCTGTTGTCAGGTGCCACAGAATCAAGTATGACTCACAGTGACCCCTATGAACAACAGATCTGAATCCTGCCTTATCCTGCACCATCCTCATCATCTCTGACACACTTGAGCCCACTGCTGCAGTCACTGTGTCTGTCCGCCTTTTCTTTTTTTATGGTGAGGAAAATTTGTATTTAGAATTAGCCAACTGGACTCAGTTTAGATGATCCCAATTTTGTTGGCAACATCCAAAATATCATAGTCAGGAGCAAGTCGAACATAGACCTTCTTCTCTCCACCAGACCTAATCAAAGTGTTGATTTGACCTTAGCCACATCAATGTCACTGAGCTTCTTTACAGCTTGTTTAATTTGGTGCTTGTTGGCCTTAACATCCACAATGAACACAAGTATGTTGTTATCTTCTATCTTCTTCATGGCTGACTCAGTGGTCAGGGGAAATTCAAAGACAGCATAGTGGTCAAGCTTGTTTCTCCTGGGGGTATCTGGGCTGCCTTTGGAGTCTCAGTGTCTTAGGCCGCCGGAAGGAGGGTGACCTGCGGATCTTCTTTTTTTGTGTGTCTGTGGATGCCCTTCAGGACTGCCTTCTTGGCCTTTAATGCCTTTGCTCTGGCTTCAGTTTTGGGAGGGGCAGGGTCTTCCTTCTTCGCCATCTTCGTAGAAAGGCATGTCATCTTGTTGAGGGTCTTCCTCTCGTTTGTTGATCATCCACTCACACATATTCACGTGCACAAGCATATATTCATTATATAATCATATAATCATCATTATATATATTCTATATATCTACGAAACATATATAAAACTCATTATATAACTTATTAGCATTGTTATATTTAATGTTGTTGTTGTTACGTGCCATCGAGTCGCTTGCGACTCATAGCGACCCTATGTACAAGAGCTCTAAACGCCGTTCTATCCTGTGCCCACCTCGATGTCTCAAATGCACTTATTCCCACCACTCCACTAGATCAATCTCATAGAAGGTCTTCCTCTCCTTCGCCGCCCCTCCACCCTGCCAAACATGATGTCCCTCTCCAAGGACCAGTCCTTCTTTGCAACATGCCCAAAGTATATCAGACAAAGCTTCAGAATCCTTGACTCCAAGGAGCATTCCAGCTTCACCTTCTCTAGGTCAAACCTGTTTGTTCTCCTAGCAGTCCATGGTATATTCAACACTCTTCTCCAGCACCACAGCTCAAAGGCATCAATTCTCCTTCTATCATCCCTATTCACAGTCCAAGTCTGATGCATAACATGTAATTGCGAAGACTATAGACCGGATCAGGCGCACTTTAGTCTCCAGCCTGATGTCATTGCTCTTCAGTACTTTTGAGAGGTCCCTGACAGCTGACTTTCCCAGCTCAATTTGTCTCTTGATTTCCTGGATGCTGTTACCAAGAGTGCTGACTGTGGAGCCAAGCAAACTAAAACTGTTAACCATATGAATCTCTTCACCATCCATACTGATGCTGCCAATTGGCCCAGTAGTAAGAATCTTTGTTTTCTTGATGTTATATTTAATACTTAATGAAAATGTTTAAAAATATTTTTAACCTGGTGATATATTTTAAAATCTACTTTCATAAAGTGTTTTTCAATATTTTGAATAATGAAAACTTGCTTTGCTTTCTTATTTCACCTGGCAGGACATTCCCTGGGTCATTTTGAATGAAGGATAGAAAAAAATTCAACACCAACCTTTATTTTTCTGCTGATTTACACAGGTTTACATTTTTACCCACAGTACAATGTAAAAAGTAATGCATGATCAAAGCGCAAACCAAATTCAGACAATCTTTTCATAACAAAATAATCTTATCTTCCATAAATTCAAAGCAGAAAGCTACATTTAAGAAAAGTTTCTAAATTTCAATGTATCATTAAATGTAAACATGAAAATTATGAGATTAAAATAGTAATGATCACAAATTTATTTTCATCAAAACAATGCAAACAGAATGATTATGTTGCTTTAATATGTATTTATGTATGTATGTCTGTTAATGTAGTTCCCTAAAGCATTCCTATTAATCAGAATAAAAAGGCAATGTAATAAGCAAAGTAATGTGAGAGGAAAATGCAGAAATGTGACTATAATGAAGTATGTGTCATGCTGTTGCTGTCCAAAGCATTTCCTTCCTCAAATCTAAGTTTTAAGAAGTAGGCATAGTTTTGTATGACTGACTTTTAGTCCAAGACTACACAGTTTTAACTAAGGATGTGTTTTAAAATCAAATTTAAAAGAAGTATAAAGAATTTCAATTTCAAGTATCCTAACTATTCTTGAAGGAGTTCTGGTTACACAGTAGTTAAGTACTTTGATGTAGGCAGAAAGGTTTGCAGTTCAAATTTACCAGCTTCTCAGGAGAAAATGTGGGTGTTTATATATATAAAGACATATCCATGGAACTCCTATAGGGCAGTTCTACTACAATCAACAGCGTCACTAAGATTAAAGATTTCGCTTGCAAGTTCAAATTGAAGGTGAAGAAAATAACAAATCTATCTGAGCCAAAATATGACCTTGAGTATACTCCACTCAAATTTAAAAATCATCTCATGAATAGGTTTGAAGCATTAAATACTATAGTCTGAAGACCTGATGAGATATGGCGTGACATCAAGGATATCATCCAAGAAGAAAGGAAAAGGTCATTAAAAAAATGAGGAGAAAGACAAGATCAAAATGATTGCCAGGAGAGACTCTGAAAATGGCATGAGAATGTGGAGAAGTCAAAACTAACAGGGGAAATGCTGAAGTACAACATGAACAAAGATATCAAAGGGTATCTCAAGATGACAAAGCAAAGTATTATAAGGAACATGCAAAGAGCTAGCATTAGAAAACCAAAAGGAATGAACACACTTGGCATTTCTCAAGTTGAAAGAACTAAAAAGCAAACTCAAACCTTGAGTTGCAATACTGAAGGATTCTACAGGGAAAAGACTGATGTGGGCAGCATTTAAAGAAGATGGAAGGAATACACACAGTCATTGTACTAAAAAGAACTGGTGAGGCACAGGGCCATTTCAGGAAATAGCCTATTATCAAGAACTAATGGTAATAAAGGCAGAAGTCCAAGCTACACTGAAGGCATTGGCAAAAAAACAAACCCCAAAAATTGATGGAATACCAAATGACATGTTTCAACCAACAAATGCAGCCCTGGACATGCTCACCAGTCTACGTCACCCTGGACATGCTCACCAGTCTACGTCAAGACACCTGAAAGACAGATAGCTGGCCAACTGACTGGAAGAGACTCATAGGTGTTCTCACTCAAAAAAGAAAAAAAGGTTATCCAACAGAATGTGAAAATTTAAAAAAAAAAATTAACACAAGCAAGAATAATCTTGAAGATTATGCAAAAATTACTAGAACAGTACATCAACCAAAAATTGCCAGAAATCCAATCTAGATTTGGATGAGATCCTGGCTCTTCTGAGGGATATCACTGCTGACGTTAGAAGGATATAGGATGAATACAGAAAATACCAGAAAGATGTTTATTTGTATTTAATTCAATAAATAAAGGCATTTGACTATGTGGATCACAACAAATTATGACTAACAATAAGAAAAGTAAAAATTACAGAATACTTAATAATGTATTCACAGTAAATCTTTACTGAGACTTAGAAGCAATTGTAAAAATATAACAAGTGAACACAGCTTTGCTTAAAAATCAGGAAAAGTTATGCATCAGGGTTGTATCTTTTCCCCTATCTATCCAATCTGTATGCTGAGTAAATAATTTAAGAAGATGGATTATAACAAAAAGAATGCCATCAGGATTGGAGGGAGACTCGACAACCTGCATTATGCAGATGACACAACCTTGCTTGCTAAAAGTGAAAAGACTGCTACAGAAGATCCAAAGAGTATTGCCTTCTATGTCAATTACACTGTCAATATCAAGAAAACAAAACTCACCACTAGACTAAAAGGTAACATCTCGATAAATGGACAAAAGACCAAAGATGTCAACAGCTACACTTTACTTGAATCCACAATCCATGCCCATGGTAGTAGCAGCCAAGAATTCAAAATATGTGTAGCACTGGGGAACTCTGCTGCCAAGGACCTCTACAAAGAGCTAAAGAGCATGAACATAAATTAAAGACTAAGGTGTGCCCAATCCAAACCATGGTCTTTTCAATTACTTTCTATGCATATGAAAGTTGGCCAACAAGTAAGAATGACAGAAAAAGAATCGGTGCCTTTGAATTGCTATGATGGAGTACTGAGTATCTCATGGACTGCTCAAAGAAAAACAGATCCATCTTGAAGGAAGTACAATTAGAGTGCTCCTTAGTGGCAAGGATGGTGAAATTTCAACTCATTTACTTTGGGCATATTTTCAAGAGGAATCCATCCTGGGAAACATCGAGAAAAATCCTCAATGAGATGGACTGTTATAGTGACTACCATTATAGGCTTCAGCATATGAGAGGTCATGAAAATAAGGCAGGGGAGGCAAGGCTCAGATCTGGTGTTTCCAGGGTCGCTATGAGTCACAGTTGACTCAACAGCACCTAACAACATCAACTCAATGGTACCGAATTTTAATTATACTTTATATCTTTCACTTGGCTTAATATGTGAGCTATCTTGAAATATAAAGTGAGACATTTTGAAATATCTTGGTTTAACATGAAAATTTTCAAAAAATTATAAAAAAGTTTTTCTGTCAGGACTTTTCAACTTTTATATCTGCAAAAAGGAAGGCATGACATGAATAATAAACTCAGAAAAAGAATATTTAAAAATTTATTCCGGTGTTAGTGATGATGGTTGTAAACTATAAATATACTAAAAACCACTATACGAAATTCTTTGAAAAGATAAATTTTAAGATATGTGAATTACATTTCAGAAAAGCTGTTATTTGGAAACTTAACAAAATCAAATATCTTGATATCTTAAGATTATTCTTATGTTGTCATTCATGACTGGGAAGACTGTGTGGAAATTTCTTAATTTTAAGAAAAATATTAAAATACACAGTTTTATTCTCTTTTTTCTAAATAAGAAGTTTACTCTGTACATAAATTGATTATGTAGTGAATAATTAAAGGATTTACATTTAGCTGATGCCAAGTGGAACCAAAAGAGAGTAAGTTAGTATTTTACTTTTAAATATTTCATTACTTTTACAATCAAAGCATTTATTTTAAGCACTGAAGAATAATCTAAAGGAGAAGTACCTGAAATTCATCACTAACAAATTTACATCTTAAAGGTAAAATTATAAGACTGACAAACTGGTCCTTGAAAGAAAACATAAATCTTTCCAATTTTCTTTTAAATAAATTGAAAAAGCCTAATGTGAAGGAAAATCTTCATGTGAATCCAAAGACACTATTCATCCAAATATTATAAGAAGTGTCATTAGGAAAATGATGTATTTAATGACTAGGGAGGATAAGAGAATTGATGCCTTTGAGTGGCTTTGAGTGGTGGTGCTGGAGAAGAGTACTGAATATACCATGGACTTCTAGGAAAACAAAAAGGTTCATTGCAGAGAGGTTGAGACCAGGCTGTTCCTTGGAGGCACGGATTCTGAAGCTCCATCTGACCTACTCTGCGTATGTTACAAGGGGGGACTAAGTCCTTGGAGAGGGACATCATGCTTGGGAGGGTGGAGGGAAGTGAAAAAGAGGAAGAGCCTTGATGAGACAGATTAATTCAGTGACTGGGATAATGGGGGTAAGTGCTTCAGAAACATGAAGATTGGCACAGAATAGAGCAGGGTTTAGGGCTGTTGTACACAGGGTCACTATGAGTGGCAGGCGACTTGATGGAGTCTAACAACAAACAACAACAATCCTATTTATGACTCACAACTCAGATCATGAGAAATAAACCTCCTCCTTAAAAATCCTCTCAAAAATGAATTTTCTTTACTAGTAAAAGAAACTGCAGAAGCAAGTGATTTTTCCTATTTTATCTTTGCATCTACAAAATCCATGAGCTGGATGATAAGTTACATTAGCCATTTGTAAGTTGAGTAAAAAACCTGCAATTTTATTACTAGCTTTTATTTTCAAAAAGTTCCTCAAGATACCAATTTCTGATACATAAAGATATAGTTAACCAAATGAGGCCAGCTGACCTGAAGCAGCAGAGAAAAATCACACAATAACCTAAGAATGATAGCCATTACTATAGAAAATGACAGAGGAAAACAACAGTAGTGTCCATGGGTTTAGGATACCAAGAAAGCAAAAGAGGGCAAGGGAAGGGCAAGTTTCTGAAACACGAATAAGACAAAAGAATAGAATTCTTTGTAGTTTTGAGCTATCATTATTTAGCCAACTGTCACCAATCTCATGTCCTGTGGGAATTTTAAGATTGTCTGGAATCAGATTATTAGGCCTATCCTAGCTACAAGGTGAATGTATTGATACACAGATAGGAAGACAGATGATACACAATGGATTGTGGGATGCAGTGTATTTTTTTAATAACTTCCTCATTCTTTTTTAAAAAATTTTATTATTATTATTATTATTAATTTCAATGAACATCTATCTACAGAGATTCTGGAATTCCATTCATTCATTGTTGCACTTTTCTCCCCACCCACCCCATCCCCAGTTCACTCCTCTCCTTGAAAAGCAAAAGACAAACTCCTTCATTGGTACACAATCCCCTCCCCCACCCCACACATCCCCACCCCCACCCCAAGTACACTCCACTCTGCAACCCTCATTCCGGACTCTTATGATAATCATAATGCCCTAAAATATATTAATTTTAAACTATTCTCTCCCTCATCGGCTTTAATGCAGTAAATATAATTTATCCAGTTTTTCTCATTCTTAAAGGCTTAAAACCACACTCAACAGGATAAAGTATAAAATCCTTAGTATGCTTTTAGTCTCCACCATAATTTGGCCTAAATTCCTCATTTCACCTTCTATTACCCTCTCCTAATTAATCTGTACACTCTAGCAGTCACACCAGCCAACTCCATAAATAGATACACCGACTCTGTAAATAAATATACATTGATTACCTATCATTAAAACTAGACAAATAATCTTTTGAGTCTCTTAGTATAAAAATATTCTTTGAATTACTCAATAAATGTTATATGACACTGACGACATGGAAGGCACTCTGAGAGTTCCAGCCCTCAACTAGAGAGCCATCAGGTATTATGGAAATGTACAAGGTGACTAGGGAACAATTAGTAAACAAACTAAAATCCAATTTGATAAGTGAACCTCAAGTTTAGGGAGGAATGAATTCGAAAAGGTGAACATATACTATCTTTTGTGTGTTCTTCTACTAACAGAAATTATTAAGATAAGCACTAATTGTGATTAAAGTAATTATAAATAGCACATACCTATACGAAGGTCTCTTTGTAAAACATTCTTATCATAAATGTAGAATGACAAATACTGGAAAGTTCTTGGGATCTCAAAGTAAAACTCTTCACTGAAAAATGGGCTAGGAAGAAAAAGGAAAATCAGATTAAATGTCAATTCAATGGTGTCCTCCAATAATACCATTTTTTAGCAGAATCAATTAAGTTAGACCATACTACCACGGATTAAAGTTTTAAAAGCTCCAAAATCATTCTCAACACTAGTTCAAACTAAAATCCAGTTGAATTCTCACAGAACCCTGACAGAACACAGTTCTTTCTGGGTCTCAGGAACACAAGACATGATCCTCAAGAAAAACAAGCTGTCATTGTGTCAATTTCTGCTCACAGCAGCTCCATGGGTGTCCAAATAAAACTGGCTCGATAAGAACACCTATGACTGCTTTTTCAGATGTTATGCCTTTTTTCCAAGGTGCCTAGGAGTAGACCTGAACCTTCAGCCTTTTGGTTAATAGCTGAAAGTATTAACAGTTTTCACCACCCAGGAACCTATGGTGGACCTGAGAGAGAGCTGAAGTTAGGGCCATTCTCACCTCACTGCAAGATACATTTTACATGAAGCTGTGTAAATCACAGCAATGTACTACTATTCTTCCTCCTCCTCATTACAATGATTCCACGGTAACCAACTCATAGCTAATCCTGCAGTGGTTTGTCAATGGCTGTAAAATGGCAAACGAGGAGACTAGCTATGTTTCTCCCCTGGAGCGTCCAGTGGATTCGAACTGGCAACTAAACCAAAAGATTAACACAATTCTCTACAGACTACCAGAGCTCACTAAACTGCTGATGTTGTACGAAATGTTACTTCAAAATTTTTTAAAATCAATTTTATATAAGCTATATACAATAAAATTCTATTTTAAACATTATGCCTTGATGGCACACAACATTTATTTATATGTGTGTGTATACAAACAAACATGTGTGTGTGTATATAGATATAGATATAGATATAGATATAGATATAGATATAGATATAGATATAGATATAGATATAGATAGATATAGATATATA